AGAAAATGGCGAACATATCTCGCCGTTTTCTTCAAGAACACAACATTACGTTGCTGGACCATCCCGCAAACAGCCCGGACTTAAATCCAATCGAGCATATATGGGACGAGATGGAACGACGATTAAGACGTCGAGAACAACAGCCGCAAAATTTCAATGACATAGCGGAAATTTTGAAACAAATTTGGAACGAAATTCCGCAGGAATTAATTCGGAGATGCATAAACATGCGAGAGCGATTACAAGTTGTCATTGAGCAGAGAGGAGGCAATACACAATACTAAACACACACACACAGACACACACACACACACACACACACACACATACAGCAGAGAGGGTTTGGAGTCGTTAAATACTGCAGAAGTGCCGAACTGCGGGGTTCTTATCTCTGTTGTGTGACACACACACACACGCGCGCACACACGCACACGCACATACACACACACACACACACACACACACACACGATGTGCAAAACCCGACCGGCAACCTTCACGTGGTGCACATTGGGTAACGCTAATGCCGGCGGTAAACGTCATTTTTAAATAAAATTTAAGGTTGTTTTTAAAGACATATAATTCGGCCGAAAAAAATCGTAAATAAGTTTTTAAAAAAAGAATTTTGTAGAAAAAAAGTTGTTTTTACACACACACAGAGATTGATCTAAATTTTTTAAGAAAAAATTTTTTATAGCTACTGCAGAATGTCGAAAATGTGTAATTTTAAGGAAAAAACAGTGTTTCTTTCTTAGGGCATAGGACTAAAAAGATGAAAAAATTTTTTAAAACTATCAATAGCGCGTTAAAGCTGAAGCTTCATGCTTGAAAATGCTATTTTTAAAAATGTCGTACGATGATTTTTCGCCGAGTAACGACAATTGCTCTGAAAAATACAAGTTTAGCTTCAAAGTCATGTAACTCAGCCAAAAAAAATCGTAGGGAAGTTTTAAAAAAATCATTTTGTAGAGAAAATGTCATGCTTTTCGAAAATTGAGTTGGATTTATCGAGAGAATTTTTCTTATCTAGCTACAGAGCGTCAAAAATATGTAATTTTAAGGAAAAAAACTGGGTGTGTCCTTTTTTAGGGCATAGTAGTGAAAACATAAAAAGATCTTTTAAAACTATCGATTGTACGTTAAAGTTGAAACTTTGAGCTTTAAAACACTTTTTTTTTAAATTTTTGTATGATCATTTTCCGCTGAGTTACAATCGTTTGAAAATAGCCCATTTTTCAGTATACAAAAAGTGTACCCTATTTTCTTTTGAGTAGTGTATATTGTGATAATAATTCGAAACAAGTACAAAATTTAGAAACTAAAAATGTACCATTACATAAAAAATTATGCACAAGCAGTATGCCTTTAAATAATATGAATGGTATGCGATATTTGTGACATTATAATAATATGATTAAATTGATTTAATTTTTAACATACTTTTAAGATTTTTTGATATTTAATATTGTTCAGATTCAAATACGAATTCAAAATCGATGTCTGTTAAAATGATAAATATTCAAGAAAAATTATCGTTAAAAAGAGAATTAGATGTTCAACGACAACTTTTAGAAGTACAACGATCTACATTGATTGAAATACAAAAAATAAGAACTGTCATGGATACGTTTGGATCATTGCAGTAAGATTTTTCATAAAAGGAGGTAAATATTTGATTAAAAATTTTAAATGTTTTTATTTATATAGCAGAATATCTAATCAAATAATTTTTCAAATAATTTTTTTTGTTACAGCACATGTAATGTTGCAAAGTTGTGCACACTAGTTGTGCACTTCGTTTTGTGCATGTACTTTATTTGTTTGTTTTTTGATTCTCAAGACTGTCAATTTATTTTGTGTTTCATGTTATTTAGATATAAGATTTTTTTATATAACTAGATGTAATAAAAGTATTTTATTTCTTTAAAATAGATTATAAGTGACACTTGTGATACATAACTAGATGTAATAAAAGTATTTTGTTTCTTTAAAATAGATTATAAGTGACACTTGTGATACATAACTAGATGTAACAAAAGTATTTTGTTTCTTTAAAATAGATAAGTATTGTGATACATATAAATGATGTCTCATTTAATTAAATAAAAAAGAAAATGAAAAATATTATTTTATTATTATATATATAGTAGAATTTAATAAAATAAATATAATCTTTTACGATATTTAATAATTATAATTTTTAACGATATTTTCAATTAAAATATTGTTGTATAATTCGTTCTCGAATTTCATTGCCATTTAAATTTTCTTCTACGTTGTATATTTCAAGATTTCTTTCCCTTCCATCTAATTCATCAAAATATATTTTCGGTTGCGCGACATTGTAATGTTTTGCAATATTTTGTCTACTACGCAACTACGCAACATGCATTTACAATAAGAGCTAAAAGAAATTCTATAAATTAATATTCTCAAATATTTTAAAAACATGTAGTTGCTATATATGTAAATTACAAATTACACTAGCAGAGAATTCTGGCGAGTAATGCAAAGCTCTTTCCTTCCTTAGGCATCTCCATCTTCCCTTCAATTCCAATGGCTCATTCTACACATGATCGAGCTCTTACGTGAGCTTTAGTATAACAAGCAGTGATCCTTCTGGTTGCCTTAATTTTGGTGTCATCAAGTAGGGTAGTAGAGGATATCCGGAATCTTCTATAATATCAAAATTATAACACTTTATTTGTACATATATACAGGGTGTCCCATTTAACTTGACACATCGAAATATCTCGTAAAGTCTAAAAGATACGAAAAAATGTTTCAGACAAAAGTTATATGGTTTTAAAGGGGACATAAGGTGGTGTTATTAGTTTGACCTTGAAGAGCCTCCTGTAGGTCACGTGAAGGTTACCTCCAACTTTTTAAATGGGACACCCTATATGCTTTTGCATATTCTTGTAGCTTATCTCAAGAGCTTTCCAAAACACTATAATTAAGTTAGTTTTCATTAAATACTTTCCAAGTTATGAGGCTTGAAATCATTTTTTAATTTTACATAAACCGTAAAATATTCATTTTTCGATTATTTTACCTTAATACTTTTATGTACAAAATAATGAGAAGAATCAATTGGTGTAAAGAAAACACATAATTGTTTCGAACAAAAAAATGTAATTGTTAATTGTAAATTACATTTTTTTGTTCGAAACAATTATGTGTTTTCTTTACACCAATTGATTCTTCTCATTATTTTGTACATAAAAGTATTAAGGTAAAATAATCGAAAAATGAATATTTTACGGTTTATGTAAAATTAAAAAATGATTTCAAGCCTCATAACTTGGAAAGTATTTAATGAAAACTAACTTAATTATAGTGTTTTGGAAAGCTCTTGAAATGAACTACAAAAATATGCAAAAGCATATAGGGTGTCCCATTTAAAAAGTTGGAGCTGACCTTCACGTGACCTTCAGGTGGCTCTTCAAAATCAAACTAATAACACCATCTTATGTCCCTCTTGAAACCATACAACTTTTGTCTGAAATATTTTTTCGTATCTTTTAGACTTTACGAGATATTTCGATGTGTCAAGTTAAATGGGACACCCTGTATATTACCAACATTAAATTTTTTAAATTAATAACTAAAAAAATTATACACATTTGTAATTTATAATAAACTTAAAATAAGTTTAATTAAATACTATTATGTTTTAAATTGATAACAATCTTTTAATAGAGAGAGAGAGAGAGAGAGAGAGAGAGAGAGAGAGAGAGAGAGAGAGAGAGAGGAGCTTTACATAATAACCAAATATTTATTTGTCCATTTTGAAACTGCTGTTCTAATTGTATCGAAATATGGGAAGCATTCCAAACGCGTGCATCGTGAGTCCTTCCTCCATGACCACTGTTTACAGCAAGTATTTTTCCATTTAAATCACTGACCTTAAAAAATATTTTTAAAAAATGTTATATATTTTTTTTATGATTATACTTTTACTATTAAAACAAAAAAATTTTGATTAATATACTATTAAAACGTTCAATGAATGATAAAGTTTTCGATTAATATATAGATGTTCCCATTCTGTATTTGGAGGCCAAATTGCAACATGGGTACCGTCGATAGCCCTTATTACACTTGGAAATCTATAATGAATCCAAAATCTAAAATATGAATAATAAAAATAGTAAATCAAAACAATTTTTTGTTGTAAATCGAAAGGAATTAGGCTCGTTATGTATTAAACAACAAGATAAGAAAACTGGCGTCTCCGAGCCACAGCGGATGGTAATGCCTAAAAATTCTTTAATTGTACGCGAAAATTTTAAACGAGAACAAGGCATATGCATATATTTTACTTGGTGCATTTATCAAGATATATAGATTTTCATTTTTGAGAATTTCTATAAAACCCCCTTTACCCCCCTGGAGAGACGTAGACGAGAAAAATATCAGGACGAAGTCGCTGAATCGGAAATCCGAGTCTTTCACTTGCCGGACGACTGCTCTTACCACTGACAATGAGCTATTCAACCCCACACCGATATCACTCTCGCTTATTTGTTTATAACTATGTTATAATACATAACGAGCCTAATTCCTTTCCGATATTTTTCTCGTCTACGTCTCTCCAGGGGGATAAAGGGGGTTTTATAGAATTTCGAAAAAATAAGAATCTATATCCCACACAGCACATGATATCGTACGAATATTCTATACTCATTCTGTGAATGTACGTACTGTACGTAATATACTCAGAACATTTTTATAATATCTTGTGTAGTATATTATTTTTCGTATATTCTCAGGATATTATCAGAACATTTTGTGTAGTATATTATTTTTCGTATATTCTCGTATATTCTCAGAATTTACTTTTAATATCTTTTATAGTATATTATTTTTCGTATATTCTCATAATATACTATTGAATTACGTGCATTTTTACTTTTGAGCGGATATGTATGCCATTTTGGATACGTAATTTCCGCTATTGCCGTCATTTGTCTTTTCCTTCTAGTTGCCACAGGACAATAACCGACACGTGCAGATGTGTTTCGTCTAAAATAAATTTTTCTTTCTCCCGCGCGTTCCGTTGTATATACGGACTATTAAGAACTTACACTCATTTCAACCTCTTAAAGAAGATAATCTGGCAGCCTAATCAGCACTCAGTAAAACTGCTGATTTTTGCTAAAAAGGAAGAAGAAGAAGTCTTTTCCTTCTTCTTCATTGACGACGTACGTGTAACGTGTAACGTGTAATTCTTTGCTACGTCTGTGATACGATTGTGATTATAATCGCAGGTAATACTTCTTATTCTCAAATAAATTAAATATAAAAGGTATTTTATAAAAGCTAAATTTTATTTATTATATTTTTTATTAATACTTAATAATTACGATATTAACCTCAAAAATGCAAATTAACCTCACAATATAGTTCATTTTCTCATAAGTTTATTAAATAAGGTTAAAAATACTTATTATTCTTATCTGTGTTGCAGTATTGCCATGTAAAAAGCATAATATAAATTTATTTTTGCAAACAATCTACATAGGAAAGACATACATACACAACTGGAATATTGCGTATAGCAAGGTGTGTATAAATAATTTGTAATAAAAAACTAACATTTTGATATTTCTTTTACATTTTGTCTTGTTTTTTTATTTCTTATGTACACAGCTCATCAATATAATTCATTCCGTTTATATCATACTGAAGCAACAGGGAATGCTACGTATCTTATATGATTTTTTATTATCATATACATATATTTATATCTTTCATAATTATATCTTTACGTTCATAGTTATATCTTTACATGTGATTTAAAATATACATAGGATGTCCCAAAAGATATACAGTTAAGTTTAAAGATTTGTTAATGTTTTTGTGAGTCAAAAATGTCAATATAAACTTATCTTTGATTAGCAGAACTATTATATGGAGTTATTACAATACGATGAATCATGGAATTCCTAGCATTAATAAAACTGTTTTGAATGTCAGTAACATTGATAATCAAATATAAGTTTATTGACATTTTTTACTTAAAAACATGATTAACGAGCTCTTAAATTTATGACTTTTGGAACACTTTGTATGTATACAGAATGTTCTGTACAGACATAAAATTATTTATGACAATTATAAACTTTAAAAATTTAATTTTTTAATTACATTACTTGTAAAGTTTATAATCACATCTTTGCATTGATTTAAATAACAAATATATATAAAAATATATATTAATGTTTTCAAATCAGTTAAAAATATAAATGTAAATATTTAAGTTTATATTATGTGTAATTTTAGACCTCAATGTTAATAATATATAATTTTGTATGTATATGGCACATTCTATATTTATATGCTGCTAATTTATCAAAAATATGTATTTTTATGTGAAATTATTATTATATGTTACAGCGTTCGCACAAAAAGAACATTATTATCAACTTCATGATCTAATAGTTTCTGTGAAGTAAGAAAATTGTATACATATATATATATATACATATATAGATGGGATATATGCAATATATGTATATTTAAAACGAGGAAATATAAAAACAAGGTGATATAAACTGCGGACTCAACAAATCACAACAAAAAGTAAGTTTTAATGATATTTTTTAGTGTAAGCAAACTAGCTGTTATTGCAATTATTTGTAAAAACGATTTAAAATTACTATAAGTCTTATTTAAATTCACTTTACGACACTAAATTATTTTATATTTTACAAAAATGTTTACGTATCAAATATATATATAATTATGTATATAATTTAACTGAAAAGTACTAATTATATAATACTAATGTTAGAAGCAAAATAAATTTGAAACTAAAATTTCAAAAATTCAATTTTTATTTTTAATAAGATTTTCAAAAATAATGAGAAATAGTTTTCTGAAAATTTTAAACTGTACATAATTTTTGGCTACAATATTAAAAGTTATAAAGTAGGTAAATGAATTGATTATTTTCTTATTTTTATTGTACTATTTATTATTTTATTTATGTATTATTTTATTATGTGTATGTGTATTTATATTTAAGTATGAAATATATTTATATAAGTATAAAATAAATAATAAAATAAATTTAATGAAATAAATAATAAAACAAATGATAAATAAATAAATAAAACATAAAATATATATTTTTAAAAAATTAAAAATTATATTTCATTTAAATTGTAATCTTTAAAAATAATCGGAGATATTTCAGGTAAACAAAATATCTCATTTAAAAGGATACACTGGAATATCTGCTCAAAAAAACATTTTAGAGAAAAAGGTTTTAGACAAAAGTTGTTTGGGGGACATATAAGATGGTGCCATTGATTTGATCTTAGATAATTATTTTGAAGGAGACAAAAAAATTTTCAATTTCTTAAATGGAATCTCTAATTTTTATAGCATATTCTTGCAGCTTATTTTGAAAATTCCCCAAAACATTTTTATTAAGTTATTTTTTATTAATTAAGTATTTTTGTTAAAGTTTACAATATTTTGACAAAATATAAAATATCTTGGGAAACTTTCAGTTTTCGATAGTCTTATATCTTAATACTTTTATACACAGAATAATCAAATCAATATATTCATGTAAAAAAAACAGTTGCTTTTTAAACAAGTAATTTGCAGCTGCGTACTTTTTCTTAAAAGCAACTGTGTGTTTTCTTTACACCAATTGATTAGTCTCTCATTATTCCATGCATAAAAGTATTAAGATTAGATTATTTAAATATTTAAGAATATTTTGCAAAATATTTTACATTTTATGTTAAAAAATTGTAGACTTCAAGCTTTATATAACTCAAAAAATACTTTAGTATTTTGGAAAGTTCTTAAGGTAAGCTACAAAAATATTCAGTAAAAAATATAATAGTAAAACCCATTTAAGAAATTGACCTTTATGTAACCTTCAAAGAATTATCCAAAGAATCAAATTTTGCTCACTATTTTATATCTCTCTTGAAGCCATACAATTTTTTTGTTTGAAATATTTTTCTCTAAAATACTTTCCCTTCAGATATTCCAATGTATTCTTTTAAATAGGACACCCTGTATAATTACAATTTTACCAATAATATTATATTTTGATAATTTTAACAGCAATATTTTATTTTATAATATCAATTTTATTAATATATATGTATATATATATATATATATATATGTGTGTGTGTGTGTGTGTGTGTGTGTGTGTGTGTGTGTGTGTGTGTGTATATAATATCGACGTAATAATTAAATATTAAATTATATATTATAGTTAATATATTTATCAGCTTCAATATGTTAACAGAAAAGAAAAAAAATGGATAAAAAGCGTTCAAGAAAAGACGCTGCATGTGTGTCAAAACGACATTTAAAAAGATTAGCCGTACAAGAATCCAAAATTGTTTACGATGCTTTATTAAATACGACTACAGTGTCATATAGTAACATTACTTATAAATACACAGAACATTTGGAAAACGTTTCTAAAGTAAATTCAGAAGTAAAAAACATTCAAGCTGCTGAAAATGCTGTAATCGAAAATTATAATGTTCACGAGTGGAACGAAAGTAGTAACAATGTATTGAACATGCAACAGTCCTCTGTTAGCGATTCTTATGAATCGCAAACTGATTTAGCATCTGAAGATGCAGATGTAACAGGTGACAATTTGAAAAATGATCTTGCTATCTGGGCTGTGCAACATCAAATTTCACATACGGCTTTAAAAGCATTACTTCAAAGATTAAAAAAACATTCATGTTTTTCATCATTATCTCTAGATGCACGTTCACTTTTGAAAACTCCGAGAAAACAAGATATACGTATAGTACAGCCAGGAATTTACTATCATTTTGGATTGCAAAAGTCTATGTTGAATATATTAACCTCCATGAAAAACAATATTGGAAGCAGTATAAAAATTGCTATTAATGTCGATGGATTACCACTCTCAAAATCATCGCAACAACAATTTTGGCCCATACTTGGTTCAATTTTTCCATATAATAATGTATTTACAATAGGAATTTATCATGGAACTGAAAAACCTGCAAATGTTAATGATTTTTTAAGTGATTTTGTGAACGAGGCTGCAGAAATGTGTGAAAATGGAATATATATCAATAATCGTAATATACAATGCAGAATAGAAGCATTAATATGTGATACACCGGCAAAAGCATTTATGCTATGTGTAAAAGGGCATTCCGGATATTCAAGTTGCACTAAATGCACAACAGAAGGAGAATATGTCGGAAATCGTATATGCTTCCCACAAATTGATGCACCAATTAGATCAGATAATGATTTTATTAACAAAATTGATGACAGTTATCATAAACCAGATATAACATGCAGTCTACTCAAAATACCTCATTTCAAACCAGTTACAAATGTTCCCATGGATTATATCCTAGTGTGTTTGGGAATTATGCGGAAATTAATGTATTTATGGTTGAATGGAGAATTCTATTATCGGCTACAACATAGAGCCATTGAAGAAATATCAACACGTCTAACAATTCAATTAAAGCCATCGATACCTGTAGAATTCGTAAGAAAGCCACGGAAATTAGATTACATTAAATTATGGAAAGCTACGGAATATAGACAAATATTGTTGTATACAGGTCCATTGGCTTTCAACTCAATATTGAAAAAAAGTGTGTACACCCATTTTATGACATTGCATGTTATTATTAGAGTCTTGTGTTCAAAAACTTTGTATGATGAACACTTATCGTATGCACAAGATATGATTCGTTTTTTTATCAAAACATTTATCAAGATTTATGGAGTACAAAACGTGTCGCATAATATTCATAGTCTCATACATCTTGTTGACGATGTAAAAAAATTTGGACCACTCGACAATTTTAGTGCGTTTAGATTTGAGAATCACATGCAAGTGTTTAAAAAATACCTCAGAAAAGCAGAAAAACCTTTGGAACAAGTAATACGAAGATGTATTGAAAAAGAAAATTTAAGTACATCAAATAGATTAAGTACATTGACTAATTTGTCAGATTCTATCCTGATATATCCCACTTTAATTACATTACATGATGATGGTCCACTTTTACTTGACTGCAATAATCCACAATATAAAATTATCAAATATGTCAACGGAATAACATTTAAAACTGGCTCACATGCAGATAATTGTTGTGGTTTAAATTGCGGTGCTATAGTATGTATTGAAAACGTGGCACACTGCAAAAAACAGAATATTCCAATTATTATTGGACGCGAATTTTTGGAAAAGGAAGATTTATTTAATATGCCTTGCTCATCATCATTGCTTGGGGTTTATTCCGTAAAATCATTATCAGATTTGAAATCATGGCCATTGAAAAATGTGATAAAAAAATATGTCAAATTACCATATGAAAATGTTAAATACGCAGTTTTTCCATTAATACACAATGAAGTAATTAATATTCATTGACACAGAAATGACTGATAAATTTTATGCAATCGTGGAATTCGAAGATGGACTACAAGTTATACCAAATAATTGGTTAAGTGGAGACTTAAAGAAAGCTTTTTGGCCAAATTTTACAAACAACAAGCGGTATGATAAAGCAGTTAAATTGAGGGAGGAGCCAGAATATACTTGGTTGGAGCATCCTATTCGAAAAATATATGGAACATTTCGTAAGTAATGTTATTTTTTTTGTATATATTATTCTGAAATATTCTTTTACAATAAATATACAGTGGTGACCAACTGTTTGAAATTGAAATTTATGAAATGTGAACCATTTATTTTTTTAAACAAGATTCCTTTAAAAAAATTAATGTCTCACATTTCATAATTTCAATTTTTTATGTTAAAATCGTAATTACGATATATTAAATATAGCTGGCCGCCATTATATATATGTAGCTATTTTGTAATATAAGAAAATATAATTAAATTAAATTAAATTAAATTAATTAAATTAAATTTGTATTATTTACTAAGTTTTATTTAAAAATTTTTTTTCAGAAAACTATGGAGTGGCAAGGAAAAAGTTAAAAGATGCCGAAGAATTATCCGACATTAACTCTGGCCCTGATATAGAAGAAAATTTAAAAAGGTCGAGAAAAATTAGAGCCGCTAAAATTGTTGACGAAACAAGTAACGATACTGATGAATCATTAGACGAAATGATACAAGTCTCAGAAATTCCAAAGTTTCCAAACAAGCATTCGATGACTGCAGAAACCAGTAAAACATCAAAAATTACAGAAAATGCATCAAAAAGTAAGTACGATCTAATAATAATATAAAATAACAATAATAGATTTAAATAGAGAAAATATTTTAATAATAGAACATCGTTTATGAATTACAGATGTTAATAATTTGGAAAGAAAATATACAGCAACACAAAGAAGCAACATAAAGAAGTTTGCAAACATAAACACAAATATAGAAAAAGGAACAGATGATTCATGTATGATTTTAACTTATTCATTATAATTATTAAACTATTATATAAACATTTATAATTTAATAAAAATTTTATTATACATTTTATTTTCAGCTTTACATTGCAATAAAAATTTGATTGACGCACCGGTAGAACAATCATTTGATGAAACCGACGATGAAGTTTATGTACAATTT